TGAAGTCGGGAGTAAGATAAGGCTGCCTTCCATCTCTAATTATTAATTTCCTGATTTCTGTAGACTGGATAATGTGACAGACAGCGGACAGCGAGGAAACAGGCATAAAATGGACCCACACAAAAAACTTGGAGGATATGGACATCCCGCAAAACCTGGAAGATGTGAAAGTCGAGAGCAACAAGTTGGCAGAAGAAGCATCAAAGAAAGGTCTTCAGATGAACATAGAGAAAACAGAGGTGATGAAGATTCCTGGCCAACGGCAGCACTGACGACAAAAACAGGCAGCAATCAGGATAAATGGTAGAATCCAGAAGAAATAATCTCCTCAACCTACTTGGGAAGCATCATGTCAACTACAGATGGAACTGACAAGGATATCAAAGCGAGGATCGGGAAAGCAAGGCGAGTTTTCATTACTCTTAAGTCGGTGGCAAAGCGGTTAAGACGCCTTCCGACCATGCACATGGTCCTGGGTTCGATCCCCAGCCGACGCACACCCGATATCAGTGGGCGGCCTGCAAAATTTGGGCTACCAATATCACATGCTGAAAATTCCATACTTGTGTCAAAAACAATGTGTGGAGTCAAGCTATAGTAAAATAAAAATAAATAAAAAGCACGAAAATATATTAAAAAAGATCAGCTACGCGGTACGTCCAACGTTTGCGTTACATTTTTGCGTGATTCGTTACATAAAATTTGTCTTGTTGTAATCCTTGCACAAGTACTCTACTACCTCCATACCTATAACCATTAACTCTTATATCAAATAGTTATGGTTAACCAAAGAAAAAGCAACGAACTCAATCCCCTGTAAAACTGATGACTAATTTTAAGTCGTTGATTGCTACATCAAGCAACACACTCCCTACAAATGGTTATAGTGAGCCACATAACTCACTCGTATGCCGTAAGCGTCGAGCTGAAACTGAGGATAAAACTGTACTGACAGCTAGTATTAGCACTACTCCGAAAAATTCAGTACCCTCTGCTCATACAGAAACCCTCCCTACACCTTATGTTCTTATCGAAAAGCTCCAGCCTTCAAGCTCTGTCTCAGTAATATCTTCAGAAATAGAACTTCTAAAGTTGTATATAGGAGAACTTAAGGCCGAGTTAAGGGAAATAAAAAACAATGAGTCAGTAAATCCTGGAATTTCTGAAACCAACACCAAAAACTCTAAGCATGAAAGGTAAGATTCAGATTTTCGACCCCAATATGAAGCCAGTGCTATTATACGGATCAGAGATTTGGTTGAGTACGGTTACTGGTCGAAAACAAAATGAAACTTGGGTTGCCCACTAGGCCCTGACGTCAGTTTTGACAATAGAAACTTATGTGGTCTTGTTCAGGTAGCCTACGTTATAAATCAACGAAGTAAACAATCGAGAAAAACTGATTTGTCAACATTTCGGTGTTTGAATCCTTATCATGTTGTACTACAGCGGCGAAATTGGCATACCTTTCGTGTGAATCTTTCTCTCGGTATGAAATGTGCTATAATGTTTCTACCTCTGGGCCAGATTCGTGTGACATTCGAAACTAATTTTTCTTTACAATACAATAGTGAGTTTTTTATTCCTTTACCTTCTCAGTGGAACATAGGTCTTCAAACTAGAGGCTTGAAGTTTCTGTAGCAGTGTTTATTTTTACAGGATGATGTTGCTAGCCTCACACCCAACCTTTCCTCTCTACCAGCTTTATTTCTGGCTTAGTGAGGTAAAGGAGTGCGTCTATGGCCGGGGATCGAACCCCGGACTATGTGTATGGTCGGCGAGCGTCCTTACCGCTGTGCCACCGACGCTTAAGATACAATAGTGAGTGGCATACATTTATTCTAGCGGGTGTGTATGCGAATGCAAAACAAGCTTTCCGATCATCTAATTGTCAAAAGGCCATGAACAGAATTTTAAATTCTCATATTTCCCGGGAGACGGTTTAGCGATTAGTCTGTCACTCTTCGTTGGTCACTCGACTTTCCGTGTTATCAGGAGATCTCAGCTGTCGATGCATGTCAGCTACTAGCGGTTTTAAGTGTTTCAGCGACGCACACCTCGAGACCTTAGTTATACAGACTAAATTCAAGGTTCATAATTAGGGGTTCCAAAAGTGCTTTTGCCCAATATCTGGGACACTTCTCTGTTGCATGCTTAGAAAATGTTTCGTGTGGCTTCAAATTTCATCTCCTGTTGATTGAACCTGAGTTGTAGGTTATCTAGAGCTTCTTTTGATGTTTTGAACTTGATCTTACAGGCACCCTGCATAAGATAGTCTTCCGGGAGCGCATCCACTCCCTCTGTTTATCCCTTAGGTAGAATGCTCCTTCTCTGCTTTATGGAAACTGGGATGAAGCTTGCTAGAATTCTGGCGTTTCAGACTTGCAGAAGTCATGTATTTGCGTGAACATTTTTCTGCTGACAAACGCTGCCGCAGACCACGATTGATAATAGTGCAGCTGTATTTCAGACAATACGTGAACACATAGTACAGAAATTTTCAGTCTATTTAGTTCCAAAGTATCTCATCTTTACAGATTTTCCATGATCTGAAGTATTGTCGCATATTAGAAAAGGACCACCTGTGTATATGCCTTCTTAATTTCCTTCACTAATTGTATAATGACTTGTTGAAAGTCGATTTGCAATGTCTGTGGGCTTTTAGAAACTGGCTTTTCTATCAAAAAGTTTACACAAATTACCGACTGACTACCTGTAATACTGTAGAAGGTCAACAGTGTTTATGAACCTTTATATCCGAAAGCATGGCAAAGGGCAAGTGAGGCGGGGCATATCTATCCAAAGAAACAGAAGGACCTTCATCATTCAGCAGATAAAGAAAGGCCTATACACCATTCATTAATGCTTCTCTACATGTTTAAATGGATAGTAACTGCTGTGGTGAGTCTCTCACAGATTATATTACTGAAAACATTGCTGTCGGTGAGCTAACTAAAGTTTTACAAGCCGTTTTTATACTTTTGTGGATAGCCCACCCTGTCGATTACATGTAACGCAACCTTCAGTTGTTACGCGCCTTTTAGACAAATTCGAACAATAATTGTGCCTAGGATAATATCATATAAATTGTTTAACCTGTGTAAAGTGTGCTTACGGTCATTATTCCATTACCTTTCCTTGTATATATATCCTGTGGTTGTGAGAAATTGTAAATATGAGTACTCCATGTATATATTCATTGTCACATTGATAATGCCTGTAAACTGGAGTCCCTCATGTACATAAAGTGAAAATATATTATCATTCTTATTATGCAGATCCTACTTGGTCACTCGTTCTACCCTTCTGAGTTCCTTAATCACTTTTAACATCTGATTGGCCAGATAATAACATGTTGTAGAGGCCTTACAAGTTCATCCAGTAAAAATCTGATACAACTGCATGATTATAGCAGTAAGAAAGAAAAAAGAGTTTAAGCATCTAGGTTGTTGGAAATTCTGTCAGCCAAGTGATTTAAGCTGGCCGCAAGCGAAAGTCTGTAGACGTTTCTCGTCCCACATTTTTTAGCTACTCGTCCTCGTCCACGGTGGGTTATATTCTTGTTCCTTCTGCTCCCAGTTTGTATTTGATATATTCCATTTAAATTTTGACGTCCCAGCCTAGATACCATCTTCTTCAATGCTGTCTCAAGACGTCCTCCACCGAGTTTCACTTGTTTGTGGATGCACAGTGTGGTACACTTCAACTTTCCATCATTCTGACCTTTACCTTACTGTCAGGATCCTTAGAAAGTTTGGTTCCCTCTTTACGAAAACCCTCGATGTTGTTAGATGCAAGAATCATGATTGGAACACCCTCACGTCTGTCTTTTAGGTGACCGGATTATATCACTCACTCTCCAGTTGACAGACTAAAGCGTCCACCTCAGCTCTTTCTGCTGTCGGAGATTTTTAAAATTTCGGCATGGTGTCTTCTAATTTTTTATGTTATCCAAGCAGTCTTGCAACCGAAAAGATGATATGGATGTTCAGTGTTCCCTTGCTAACGTTCGCTTTCATCGGAAAGGAACAAACCAGCTGACTGGCTTCTCGAAAGCTTTCATCAAAAAATCTGGTGACTACAAGCGGTGAGAGGCTGATTACTAGTACCGAAGAATTGAAGAGAAAACTAAACATACATTCATTTGCAGTATCACCAGTAGTCCGGAAGGTCAAATCGTATGGATCAAGGCTTACTGGCACGTGGTTAGCAAAAGAGGGAAAATCTCAAGGGATACATATTATTTGCATGATTTTAGATTGAAAGGCTCTGCTGGCTCTTCCGAGAAAGGCTGGCCATATTCTGACGGATACTATTGCTTATCAGAGCCCCGTCCACTTGTCTACATAAAGTAAGAACAGATTTGTGTGCATTAAGGCTGTGATACAAAAGTAAGACAGGATAATGTTAAATGAGGGCACATGCAACTGACAAATGTCAGTTGAAGGACTCACATTTGTTTTTCAGTATTTACCTACAATTATTTTGGGTACATATAGAGTTATGCTAAATACACGATGTAGATGAGTACAGTACAGGCCACGATAAATTTTAATGATGACTAGTTCAACAGATCTACTTTTATTAAAGGCTCAAGCCATTTTTCAGCAGTATGGTGATAGATGATACATAGAATCTGAGTTTTTGTCGAGTTTTGGAAGTCTCGTAACGCTGAAATTTGTGTTAGATGAATGAAAGGGGATGTCCAGTGAGGGACAGACCATAAAACAGACTCGTCTTTTGAAAATGACTTCTTGTCACTAGAAATGTACACCAATCTCCTTGTGGTCATTCAGCAATTATTTCAGGAAGAATTATGCATTAACTACTGTCCTCACTTAAGTGCACTGAGATTTTCGTGCCCTTGTTAAGGTTAAAACTAGGAAATTACGGGAACCAAATAAGATTTCTCACCGGTTATCGCAGGGGAAAAGTTCAGTTGAAACTTTTTCAAGGAATATCTATTGAAAGTACTGAATCCCAGAAGTTAACCCATAACTAACCGCAGTGGACGGCTATGTATATTGAGTAAGCTCCATGAATATGTGATTTTTTTATTAGTCTATATAAAGACGGTGATATTCGTCTTAAAGCGACGGATTTATATATCAAATGTTGAGTCATTGGAAGGTAATACAAATTACGTGCTACTCGCGGGCTTTTGAGGATGAACAGCTTTGAGGAGTTTAAAGCAAAGTCGCGGGAGTCATTAGAAACGGTAATAATTGCTTAAAAGGTTATAAAATTAAAAACAGGGAGATTTCTCGTGGCTTAAATACCTTCCTCGTGATCCTAGATTCCCAAATACGAACCAGACACCGTATGCATGATTTGATCCATTTTGAGTATTTTCTAAAGTACTTGTAGACAAAACTACGTGGACTATCACCGATGCAAAAAAGTGTATGGGGAAGACTACAAGCCTTGCAACTATTTTCTACATGCGGCTAAATTAGCATGTCCGTCGACATGGGTAAGTGTTGCTACAGTCTGTAATTGAGTATACATAGGTAGAAAAATGGGACAGAGAAGTCGAAAACAACATGCTGCCATATAAAATCTAATTTAACCTTATTACTTTTCTTGTTTGTACCTAGACATCTCTGTAAGGAAATAGATATTTCAGAAAGTCTGTTCTCTTAACTTCGAGAAGTATTGTTGGAATTGCTTAGCTAATATAAAGTTTTAAAGAATAATGATGGTCTATTTCATTCATAAAACAAGAAAAGTTCCTCGAGATTATAGGATGTGGGTACATTTGCGTTTGAAGTCCGTTTGTCTATCGTTGAAGGAGATATCAGCATGGTTCGTCCGACGGTTGTCACGTCTGTGCAGATTGATGGTAGAACGTGTTATTGTATTATGGTTGCATAGAATTTCTATGTTTGCTTGTGTAGCAAGGTGCCACCGACTCTATGAAGCACGTAAAATCGTATTCCCCAAGCTGTTTTTTGTCGAGGTGGGTACAGTTTGGTTTATGACAAGTATGATTCTTTATTAATTCTCCGGATAATATTATCTTTCATTCTTTAGAAATAATGTGCCTACTACTTGTCTTGTTTTTAAAAGTCATTTGTTATGTATATCTAAGGTTTGTGAGACATTTACACAAGTAATTATACTTGGTGAATGTGGGTGGCTTCAAAACCAAGTGTGATCATTTTAGTCCAGTTATCATCATCAACTTAAGTGATTTAAAGTTTCATTTAAGTAAAGTATTCACTTTCGTAGGAGAATATGGGGAAGATCTGTTATCCTCATAATGTATTTCGCTCTATCTCACTCATCCATATGGAAATCTAAGAAGAGGTTTGTTATGGTAGCCAACACCCATTCGGTTTTACTATCAACTGACGGAAGTTTACCTTCAACGTTTCAAGAATTAGTCTGTCTGTGTCTCTCAGTTTTTGACATAGAACTTTGCACATAGGTGCGGAAGTTCAAGTCGCCACACTCCCTCTTTGTAGCACACAAAGCAAGAGAAGAAAGTAGGAGAAATGCATATTAGAGACAGTAAACAGAGTTGTGAGACAAAGGAATAGTAATAACGAAGAACAAAACAGTTTCATTGGAAATCATAAGTCACGAGAGTGGATGCATCTGCACGGGCCATCCATTGAGAACGATGAGTTTAAGCCATGTCACCAATTGTTTCCAGCCTTCATTGGTTTTTACCGTCCCGAGGATCCCAACCAGGAAGTTTACACCTTCCTACGTGGCTTAGACCAACTGTTGTAGATTTCATTGACTGATGAGGCCATGTTTTGGTTTGACCGCCGCTAGCTCTTTTCCAGCCTGAATTATTTGTCAGCGGAAAGCCTCAATGATTGAGTTTATTCAAACGGTATAGGCGGCGAGGTTGTGAAAATGCACGGGGCACAGAAATATGTTTGGTATATGAAATACCACTGGCAGGTATAAGATAGTACAACTAACTGAGTTAGTCTGCATCGACTTCGAGTTTAAGGGTATGAAATGAGAATCTTAATGGACTGACTGCTTCACTTGAAAGGCTGTATCACCCATAAAGAAGTGGTTGTTGACAAAATATATATGGTTGAATATCGGCTGATGTAGCATTTATCAACTTGCGTAGTCTTTGCTGGTGGCGTATTCAAGCGGTCATCAAATGCATATTGTCTGTATAGTAGTTTTATGTGATCATGTTTGCTTCTGCGAAATGGCTGGTAAGAGTAGAAGTCATGACAAGGTCACAGGGTTTTGATCACTAATGACCATGTACTGACGTTATGTGGAACAGCATGATAAGTAGTGTCACTATTATATACATAGCAGGTGAGGAAGAGAAGTAACGTTGTAAATCTTCACGGATTTAGGTATCTAAAACAAAAGCTATCTGTAATTTGAAACGAGGCAAAGCGGCGGGACCCGACGGAATTATTCCGGTGTTTAAATATGGGGGTGACATACTAGTATATAGTTTAACTAAGGTACCAGGTAACGTCTGGGAATCAGGTACGGTTCCATCAGACTAGGGTAAGTCACTTAGTATACCAATATTCAAGAAGGGAGACAAGTCCTCATGTGATAATCATAGAGGAATCAGCCTGACGAACATAGTCTCTGAGATCCTAGGCTCAGTAATCATGCACAGACTAAGCTGAACTCAGGAGGAACAAACGAGGGAAAATCAAGCAGGCTTTAGGCCAGGCAGAGGGTGCATAGATCATATCTTCACTCTCCGACAGACCCTAGAACATAGACACACTTTTAGGCGTCCAACAATTGCCATATTTCTTGACTTGAAGGCGGCCTTCGACTCCGTGGATCGAGAGGTACTATGGCAATGTTTGACTGTGAAGGGAGTGCCAAGAAAGTACATTGCACTAATCAAGGCACTCTACTCAAACTCACGTATATGTGTAAGGGCTTATGGGGAATTGTCATGTGAATTGATAACAACCAGTGGTGTCCGTCAGGGATGTCCACTTTCCCCTTTTCTGTTTAACTTCATCATAGATATGCTAATGGAAGTGTATCCTTAACTGAACTTAACGACTTAGGAATCGACTTGTTACCAGAGAATAGTCTTATGGACTGGATTGGAAAAGTTGGTCATGTTGAAACATAACATCAACTCATGAGGTCGTAAATCATTGGTCTGAGTCATGTAGGGATGAGTAGAATGTCTAAGAATCAGTGGTTGAAGATCCTGTATTCATTAACAATGGTACAGAGACGTTTATTTTTTATTAAAGTCCTGAATACCATTAATCCTCATCATGCTGTCCTTTTTCTCCCGTTGACATTTGTCGGTCCCGGTAATACTTTTATTACTTTCCGCGTCTATGTGCTTGTTTAAAGTATGCAGCTTAAATTGACACAGTCATTTAAGAACTTATGAAGAGTTATCTTGTGAAGTGGTGACAATCAGTGGTGTTCGTCAGAATTGCCCAGTGTCTCCGTTTTTATTTTATCTCATCATAGATGTACTAATGGATGTGATCCTAGTAAACTTTAGCGAATTAGAGATTGTTTTGTTAAAAGGAAATAATCTCCTTGACTTCTGTCTGTCTGTTTTCGACATAGAACTTTGCACGTATGTGCGGAAGTTCAAGTCGCCACACTCCCTCCATGTAACACACAAAGCAAGAGAAGAAAGTAGGAGAAATGCATATTAGAGACAGTAAACAGAGGTGTGAGAAAAAGGAGTAGTAATAACGAAGAACAAAACAGTTTCATTGGAAATCATAAGTCACGAGAGTGGATGCATCTGCACGGGCCATCCATTGAGAACGATGAGTTTAAGCCATGTCACCAATTGTTTCCAGCCTTCATTGGTTTTTACCGTCCCGAGGATCCCAACCAGGAAGTTTACACCTTCCTACGTGGCTTAGACCAACTGTTGTAGATTTCATTGACTGATGAGGCCATGTTTTGGTTTGACCGCTGCTAGCTCTTTTCCAACCTGACCCTATATCAGCTAACATTGCCCATTGTCGAGGAAGGCGATGACTAGGCATACGTAACACATGTCCTTACCATCTCAGTCGATGTAATTTGACTTAAAGTATGCAAATAATGTTTGTGTAAGTGGAGGGACTGACAAAGTGCAGAGTTCTAAACACCTTGTATGGGAACCTTAGCATGTTTGGTATGCGACTCGCCCCTGTCAGGTGTAAGATGATGCTGCAGGACTAGTCTGGATGCGTTCCCATTTAAAAGATAGGGAGTATATTGACTGAGCGTGCTGGCCACTCCATCGGGAGGTTCCATCAGACGTAATGAACTGATTACTGACGAAATCGCAAGAGGGATGTGGCGTTTGCCAGTGTACGTCAACTTTGGCGTAGACTTCATATCCGGCCACTGATCAGATGACATATGAACTGCACAGGAATTAGTTCGCTCTCTCTCTTTATAGCTGTAAGACATGATCATTGAAATTTGAAGATACGGAAAGGCTGGTTATCTTAGCATTCTATCTCCTGTGTTAACTGGTATAATATGGTGAGTATTATTGAAGATAGGCGTAGAGTGTTAGGTAAGTAAGACAAATCAATTAATTGGGCTGTAAAGCCGTGTTGTTTGACATGACTAGGGCATTTGTCATTCATACCTAGTCAGGAAGTGTGTGTGTGTATTAACTAAATAATGTTTCCGGTGAGGAATAAATCTGGCTTATTGTTACCACCAGTTAACTTCGGATGGGTGTCTTTGGAGTCTGGTCTTTTGCACCACCAGTGAAAGTGGTAGGAAGCGGCTACAATCAGCTGAAAAAAGCACGTATAGGCTAAAACGGGCTTCTACAAGATTAAGCCAGCCGGATTGCACAGTTAAAACCATTGGATAACTTGAAAGTCCGATCTTGTGCAACTGATATAGTTGGTTATTTGTTAACTTAACTTCCCAAGGTATGTAATATTTGTGTATAATGTTTTTGTAAAATGAGGTCGAAATGTTCTCACCGGCACGAATCTGTCTGTCTTCACCTGGGTCGGAGGGGGGTAGATCCGGGGAGAAATAGTCAGCGATGAGTAAGTAGTACTAGTGTTGAACCCACAAGTCAGCAGTGCTTACGTCATCAACAGAACAGGAATCAATGTTTACGTTATTTTGATGGACCTTATCGTAGCATTTCATTCTCTTTAGAAGAGAATCTGTGTATCGTGTCTTCAGCAACATTTTCATAGGAGAATTTTGGCATAGCAAACGTTTGTATAGTATATTATTCCAACTAGTCAGTTGACTCGAATCGTGTTTAAGCTGGTACAATAAGCAAAGAATAATGATCCCTTTGGTAACAAACTATGATCAGGTTAATAACCTGAATAGGACAAATGCTGATGGTGCTATTGAGACATATGTAGTAGCAGAAGCGATCAGTCACTTCATTGAAATTTAATTCAGCTTTTGAGTACAACTCTGGCATTAAAGAGATCGTACAATTATTGTTCCCATTCAAGGTGTCAGAGAAAGCCATGTTGTGTAAAAGACTTGATTTAACAGGACAGAAAAGTGGCATTTGGTCCTTATATATATATATATATATATATATATATATATATATATATATATATATATGTAACAACAGAAGACAAGGGCCAGGCAACAGATCGTTTATTAAGGAAAATCAACACCTATTTATATATTTTAATGTACATTATTGTAGATTATTGTTAGTAGAAAATACAGTCTTTTGATTGGTTGTTTCTCACAGAAAGTTGACCTTGCA